AAATGGCCAAGTATTGGTGGTTTTTTTGGTCGTCGTTTGGCTGTTTTACATGAATGGAAATGTGCTACTTCGACAGCGGGAAACAAGCTCAAAAAGCAGGGCAAAGTCTTGGCCTGGTCTTTAAATTTAAGGTAGGCTTTTAATACTGAGTTCGTAGAATAAATACGGCTACCATCCCTTTAGTTAATTTAAATATAAACAGTTAATTATTCGAATGGCTAAACGGTTTTTTGCATGCATTTCTTGACATCAGTCAGTCCAGTACAAAACACAGGTCACAGGATCCCACAGGTCACAAGTGCAGGTCAAAGCTCTATTGATGCATAAATGGCAGGGTGTCCGGAAAACTAATATAAGACCTAAGATCTAAGACCTTCCGGACACCCATAAATGACATACAGTCGAACTTCGGTAAGCGACCACCTAAGGTACAAAGACTAAGTGGTCACTTAGAAGAGGTCCAAGCACATCTACTTTATGGGCGATAATTTTATTGCATGCAATGTCTAAGTTAGGATATGTGTATAGTTCCATGTTGTCACTAAACTTCTTTGTATATTCTAAGTAACATAGAGGGAGACATTGGGGGGTACCCAATACTGCAATACCTTAGGAAAAATTGGCAAATGCCGAAATACTGTGTTGAAAATCAACAAAATACTGATACCACAGTTATGATTGGTACCGCTTGCTTAAAGTTCTATCCATCTCGTGTGTTTGTTTATATCAAGCATTTATGCACCAGCAATCAACCTCAGCCATTGTGAGAAAAAGGTGAGAAGACCTCAAATTGATCAGTACAATGACAGAAAAGGATGCCGTACAAGTGTCGACTTCAAAATCGCTAGGTGTTCACATTGATGGAAATCTTTCTTGGGAGTGTCATATTAATGAAATCTCTAAGGAGATTGCTTCTGGCGTAAGTCCTATTAAGCGTATTAGGTATTTTCTTTCTTTTGAGATTCTACTCAACGTATACAATTCACTGGTAAAGCCACACTTTGATTACTGTGATGGAGTATGGGGAAACTGTTCTAAGAACCTATCTTCTAAATCGCAGAAATTGCAGAATTGCGCCGCTCACGTTCTAACTTTCTCTAATTATGACTGCAATACAAGTGAATTGTTTCAAAATTTGAAGTGGTCGAAACTTGTCCATCAGCGCCTTGTTAATAATGATGCATAGAATTGTAAATAACACAGCTCCAGAATATCTGACTTTGTGTTTTGTTCATCGCTGTAAGTTAACTAGTTATAACCTTAGAGAGAATGAATACAAGCTCGCTGTTCCACAACCCCGCACTTAATTGTATAAAAGAAGTCTTTCTTATAGCGGAAGTGTGTTATAGAACAGCTTGCCTATGGAGGTGCGGCAATTGACATCCCCCAATGTATTTAAGGGAAAATTAAGGGACCTTAATTTCGATGGGAAATAATTTAAATTAGCAATATGTTATTTTTACACACGGCCTCCTTGAAAAGCAGGTGTTTTATTTTCATCTTTATTGTTTTAGTTTTATCTTTAGAATTTCTAGTTTAGTTAGGTAGTTAGTTTTCTACACTTAAAAGTAAATGTACCTATATACCGGAGTTTTGGCTTTATTGACTGTCACTTATGGGAGGTGGTTGCACACGGAGGTTCAGTTGTATTAAAAAGCAGTTTCACCTCAATCTAGAATTTAATATTTGATAATGATTAACGCTAGGGGACACCTTTTAGTGTTATTTATTTATTGTAGCACGGTGACCTGTATTCTAACCTGCACTTGTGAATTGTGACTGGTGACCCCGTCACTGACTGTGGAGTACCCCTCCTCCTTCCACCGACTTCTAGCACGGAGGGGCTGGTTGTATACTGTAATTCCTGTGATGGAGGGCTAGCCATTTTGCTGGCGGGGGTTGGGGGGAGCTTTGGGGGTCATTTTCAGATACGAAAGTGTTACCTGAGAAGGGTCATTTCAATAATTTTTATAAAAGTAATACAAGGCAATACTGAGCGTGAATATTGAAATTGAATGTAACAGAAAAACAAAACATTGATACAGTTGAACCTCCCATAAGCAACCACCTAAGATGCAAAGGCTGAATGGTCACTTACGGTAGGAGGTTGCTTACAAGAATCAAACCACAGGGGCTTCTTCCAAAAATCTACTTTATGGAAATAATTTATTATATGCAATCTCTAAGTTACAACATGTGTAGTTCCATGTTGAATGTAAAATTCTTTGTATATTCTAAGTAGCATAGTACACACAGCAAACATAAGATATCAGACAATTTGTTAAAAAACAGGTTTAAAAAACAATGGAAAATTATTCAACCGTAAACCCCAAATAGTGGTCATGGTCGCTTACAGGAGGTGGTCGTTTATGATAGGTTCCAATTGGAAGGCTTTGACTGGGAAAATTTTTTTGATTTGGATAGGCGGTCGCTTATGGGAGGTAGTCACACATGGAGGTTCGACTGTATTATAAACGCAACTGTTGATGAACTATGTAATTTGTAGCTAGAATATTTTTAGTTTCCACAGCAATATGGGTGGGGGTCAGTTTTACAATATGTACAACTTATGGGGGGTCATTTCTACATAAAAAGCTAGGATGAATTGGGGGTTTGGTTTGGAAATCTTCGATTAATCTTCTTCAAAATAAGTGGCCTGCCCTCACAGGTAATAATTAAACGACCAGCCCCTGAAGTTACTCTTTGTACTTACTCTTCTAGATTACACTAAGATACATTTATTTTACTTCAAATTGCATTTGGCTGCATTTTAAATGTCCACCTAGAAGCTTATAAAAAATTTTTTTGTCTACAAAGAAGATCTTTGGGAACTTTTGCTGTTTGTGTTAAGACAATTTTTTATTGCACAATATAAATATAGTAAATATAATATTACTATCTTATCTAATTTTAGATGTGATGTTCAAGGTCAACAAGGAATATCCTCAGAAAAGGGTACATCTATGTCCAAAGGTAATTATCTTCTGTCAATTAAAAGTAATTAATCTGAATTCAAATTTGACATGAATCGTCATTAGCAATTGAATGAGTCTGAGGAGGATGTGAAGAATTATGCAGATCAAGGAAGATTTCAGCCACAATGGATAAAATCTTCTGAGATCTGCATAATTTTTCGCATCATATGGTAGCTGAAGGCAATGATTGTTTAATTATTCATTCAAAATATTTCTAAGTTCTTAACAAGCTTTCCTTCTGGTAGAATTTCTTTGAAACTTTGGCCTATTTCTTTGGATGGTTATGAGCGGATATTTATCCTTGCAGATACTCCTCAAAAAGTAGATAACAAGATCGATAACATCCATCAAGCAATATGTAAAAGTGTATTCTTGCATTTCTTCTGTCCCGTTAGTTAGAAATTTGGCTATTTTGTCTTCAGACAGCTGCGTGAATGGCATTTCCTTGTGTCAACTTCACCCAATAATAAACAGCTAGGCCGTCTGCTGTGACTGGAACGAGGTTGAAGGATGTTATATCATAATTTATACCATTGAATCAATTGTATACTGCTTGCATCTTCCAAATTTTATGGTAAGTACCCTCTGGTTATAAAGAATTAGCCAGGGGATTGGAGCCAGTCAGAAAGGGCCGAAAAATTTTGATTGAGTAATCATGTACATTATGCATTAGGGTACAAAATAGAACAGTTATGTTATTGATTGTATTTTATCTGTTAAGATAGTTATATCTTATTGCTAATGTTGATTTGTGTTTTTTTGCAGGTCAGATGCATATGCTACAAACAGACTGGATCAAGTCCTCAACATTTAGGATTTAGAGGTTATCTTGAGTACCGTGAGTGCTGTATATTTTACTTTGTAATCCAGCTCTTTAGTGAACCAGAAAAACAAAATGTGGCTGGCTTGTTCAGAAGACAACTTATCTTATGCTTCTGTTCAGTTATGCCACAGTTATGTTATAAATGTGAGCTAAGTTCCGCTATAGTTAAAGCAGTTTTACATCATTTTCATGTTTTAAATTTTTGCACACAGTCATTGTAAAAATTTAGAACTATACATGTGCATTGAACTTTTGTATTATCATTCAGTAAATTTAATTTTTCTTTCAACAAAGCTTAAGTAATACTAAAATACTTTATGCCAAGAAAAGGTTGTAAACTAAATGACAACACAACGGTAAGTAAAGAATTAAAGTTCGTTTCTGAAATGAAAACCTCTCAAAAAATGAAAACGTTGGTTGAAATTTGCATTTCATCAAACAACAACTTTGCTTAAACTAATAGGCTGATCACTCAAATCTTGTTAAAAATTTGGAAGCTAAAAAATTTCAAATTTTGCTTGCACTGTGGTAATGAACTTTGTTATTTTCTCATGAGTTTTCACTTATGGATAATTGACAGCACTGATAACTTAAAGCACAGAATCGTGTCTTTTGTATCAAATTTCCCCTCTTTCCAACATGGAAGGACAAGAGATGTAAAACTGACTGAAGGTTAGATCAGACATGCAATCAATATTGTGGCTTATACGGCTAGCACCATCAATTTATTGACTAGCTGACTGAGAGACTGACATGCTGATGGACTGACTGACCTATGGACTGACTGTTTGACTGACTGACTTACTGACTCATTGATTTACCGACTTGCTGACTGACTGTCTGACCTACTGACTGACTTTTCAACTCACTGACTGACTGACTGACTGACTGACTGACTTACATGCTGAGAAACTGAGTGACTGACAGGTAGAATGACAGATGGTCTTTCTGAGACAGTCATGGGTTGCCAGATTAGTTGATTGTAGCAGACCTGTGCTGCTGAACTTGCAAGCTAACTTTCTGACCATGTGAGTCTTGCCAGGTCTTTATCACTGTTTTCTAACTGACTGATGATGAAAGAGATATGGTTGACTTATTGTTTATTGGTTCACACTTTGTTACCAATCATGACTGAATGAATACAGGCTCAGGGGCTGACTGTTGCATTGGCCGACTGACTATAATCATTTGACTGGGTTAGTCACTGGCTAACTGACCGACTGATTGACTCTTCTGGAGAATTGACTACCTGGCAGACTGACTCTATTGATTGAGGGCCAGCTGGAAGGCGCAGTGGCCAATTGACTGCTGCAATGTTTTAAAAGGCAGTATATTTCTTTGGAATATGTAAACTGAGACTATGGATGCACTGGCTGACTGTACTGTCTGGAAGCTGTTCAGCTGACTCCACTGACTGATCAAATGACTTGGTATTAACTGACTGACTGTCTTACAGTAACTCCTTAACTCACTGCCTGCTTGAGTCTACTGTGTAGGATCTGTCAACCTGACTCACTGACTGAATGATTTAGAGTGGATTTCCTGACTGTCTAAGGACTTACTGACCATGTCAGTGACTCACATTAAAAAGGCTGACTGGCTGTCCAACTGTCTTGGGCTGACAAGGTGACTGAATGATGTAGATCAACTGCCTTGTGGACTTTTTTAGGGTTTACTAGCTCATTTGTTTTCTCAATGAAGGAAAGACAGGCTGACTCTACTGTTTGGTGGCTGACTTACCGACTGTCTTAGGACTTATGCAGGCTAATTCTTTGACTCAATGAATGACTCACTGGGATGACAGGCTGACTCTACTTTTGGGGGCCGACTGACTGACTATTTTAGGACTTATGCAGACTAATTCTTTGACTCAATGAATGACTTTTGGGACTGGTAGACTGACTCTGCTGTTGGGGGTTGACTGACTGATCATCTTAGGACTTGTGCAGGTTAATTCTTTGACTCAATGAAGGACATACCAGCTGACACTTCCCTCTGGGGGCTGAGAAGCTAAATCACTGGTTAGATGATTTGGCACCCACTGGCTAACTGTCTTAGGACTTACTGACCAACTTATTGCCTCACAGAAACACTGACTGGCTGACTCTACTGTCTGATGGTTGTCAAACGGACACTGATTGAATGAGTCAGAGCAGACTTATTAACTGTGTAAGGACTTGCTGGCAAATTCATTGACTTACTGGATGACTTACTGGCTGTCCCTGCTGTCCAGGAACTAACAAACTGACTTAATGTCTGAATGATTTTGAGCAGACTTGCTGACTTTCTTAGGGCTTGACAGCTAATTAATTGACTCACTTAGTGACTTGTAAACTGGCTACCTTTACTGTCTGGGGGGCTGACAAGCTGACTTACTGACTGAATGACTTAGAGCAGACTTGCTGACTGACTTAGGGCATCCTGACTGATACAGTGACTCACTGAAACACTGATTGGCTGAATGACTTGTCTTAGCTGTATAGTCTCAATAGATTGTATGTCTGCTTAGTTCATTTATTTGTTAATTTACTGTGAACTTATAGTGAATTTCAAATCTCCCATGCCTATTTGCATCTCCATAAACTGCAAGGGGAATGGGCACAAGATTTTGGTGCAAAGGTCTATGGGATCGTATGGGTGACAGACAATTGTTTGGATTGGTCGATGGTTCCCAAGTCAAACTTAACAAGCGCACAAAGCAGTCTGGGTAAACATACATAATCAACTTTTATATTTGGATTTCTTCCTGTAAAAACTGTATTCAACACTCTTTTTCCCTAACGAACGGAACAGTAAAGTTAACCGTTAAATTTAACCGTCAATTTGGTGTACACATTGAAATTTTTAAGTTAAAAAAGTAGTCTCGTAACTTGGGAGTCAATCAGTGACATAATTTTTGTTTGTTTCTTTGTTAACCAAAACAAAGCACGGCATTTTCCACGGACCAGAGATAGTTACGTTTAGTACTGAACCCGTTGTCAGCTTTGCTTAACACTTGGCTTACCTGTCATGCATAATAATTATTCACCTCAAGTGGTAGGACACAAATTTAAGCTTAAAAATTCCAACTAATGAGGAAATTTCAAATCAAGAGCAATAGATTTTATTTTTCTTATAAATTGAGGAATCTATGTACCGCTTTGACTGCAAAATGGCATTGGTATCTTTACTACAGTGTTGAATAAACCTGACGGTTTGAAAAGCTTTTTGATCAGTTTACGCGCAGACATTTTGAGTCTTTGGGGAGATTTGAGATTTTTTAGTGCCTACTGTGATCAACATGTTATTTAACATTTTCATCACTGTGAGAGTAAACGGAGTTCACAGTATCAAGGCAAAATGTCTTGGATAACGCTTTGTTTTGTATTTTCAGACTGATTTGATTAATTGATTTGTTTGTACCGCAAAATGCGCCACAAATGTGTGCCTTATGATTTTTTTTCTTTTCAATTTGCTACAAAATCGTAGTCTTGTTTGCAGTTCTTCTCGAGATCGTCACGCAAGGAACTTGTCTCTACGTGACGACCCCAAGAGCCACTTCAAGGAAGACTGCACCATTTTATGTTACAAGAATAAGACACTCGGATATTTTTGTCAATTTCGTTCATGAATTTGTGGGGTACTTTGCGTCCAATTCTAAGATGTTTGAGAATAGTCTGATTTTTACCACAAAGCTTTACCAAGAGTTTGTCAAAAGCACAACTTAGCTCTCTCTTGATTTAAGCCAGCTAGTACTTTAAGTTTAAAATACGGGTGTTGGTGCGAGCTTGAGAAAGACCTTAAATAATTGTTGCTAATCTTTAATCTTTGCGTGCGCGACCGGTCTCTTTATTGACTTGCCAAGTCCTATTACACGCGCTAGTGCTTTTAATTTCGCTGCTTTGCGAAGGTCCTGTTTTTCCAAAGTTTGCATCGACATTTGTACGTTGTTGCTGAAGAACTTGTGGTTTTGCTAAACGTAAAGGCTCGGACACAGTGAAGCATTGTGCGCAGTAAAATTACGTCGTTTTTGGACGGTCAGATTGTTGTGTGTGATGTGGTTATAAAGCAATTTCTTCAACCTAATTTAACTTTGACGACATTGTATGCAACAATCGCTTGGGTGGAAAACGGTGTAAGTTTAAGAGTCGTTTATACTAGCGATATAAACACAAGCAAAAGCGGTAAAACTAAGTTCAGTGAGATCGTTAACAACATAAGCATACGCAGAAGTATGGGAAGAAAGAACACACTCATTACTGGACAAACACTAGAGAAGCAAAACGAACTCGTTTACTTTTCTTGTGATGGGGAGAGAGTGAAGTGTATTCGTCTTTCTGTGTTTGTGTTTGTTCTTGTGCTGTTACATCCACACTTAACTTGTGCTTGTGTTCATGTCGCTGGTGGAAACAAGTCTTAACTGCGCGCAATGTTTCACTGTGTAAGAGTCTTTACAATGTTTATCTGGTTCACTCAAGTAAACAGCACGGGTACTCAAGATAGCAATACTTTATTGAAGAAATAAAACTTGTCTCTGTTGTCCATTTATTTTCAATAAAAAAAATATTAAAAAAAAAGTTATCTAGCCTCCCTCGCCCCTGCCACTCTGCTCCGAGTCGGTGCTGATTCTGCTGTCCTCATTTAATATTCCAACTTTAAAATCCTGGTCTGTTTTATCTGATCCCTTCATTCAAGCTGGGGGAAGTTGGACACTTAGAAAATTCAGCCCTTTGTTACCAAGTGGGGAGGACAGCGTAAAGGAAAGTGAGAGTTTGCTCCTCATGTCCTCAGGGTCTCATTCAACTTTGTCACAATACTACACCAAATTAAGTTTGGAATTAAAATTAGCCAATGTAGTTTGTGATGAAAAATTAAATTTTGATTGAAGTTGCGTGTCTACAAAGCCAATATATCGTAAATGTCCAAGAGCCGTAGATGAGAAAAAAAAGGGCCCTACCAGAGTGAAACTCAGTACTAAGTGCGCTTCCGTCGGCAAACGAAGGCAAGAATTAAACACCGAATCCCGCTTAGTCTTACCGGACCTTCATTCCTCAAACTTCACCAAAGAACACAAGTCAATAATAATCCCTCTATTGAGAGCTTCTGATACAGGATTTCGTTTGCCCTATTTAATGTTTAGTGTTTAGACCTAAATCAAAAGAAATTTGGTTGTCTTATCGCTTTTGCGTTATTCTTGATGTCATTCTAAACTTTCGAAATTGCTGAAAGCAATTAACCAAAACATTTTGAAGCAAGGTTTACGCGTCACTGGTTCAGTGCCGCATAAATTTTGCTTCCAGATGTTTTGATTAATTCAAAATTAACCTGCTCTTATGATTAATGGCTACAGTTATTTGAAACCTACGCCACTTCGGCGTTCGAAAAGGGTTTATTTTTCCTAAGGAAAATTACCGCGAGAGAATTGTAAACCTACTCAAAGTTATTGTTTCTAGGAAAAATTTTGGCTTTATTTATGCTGCTCGCCGTGATATTTTTCTGCATAATAAATTAATGAACCTAAGATTCAGTGCCCATTAATTACGCATCTAGATGCTTAATTTCATTCTAATGATATCAAAACAAAGTTGCGATTCTTTAAAATTAGTGCCGGGTCGGTTTTCGATAAAAGGTTAACTTTTTCTTAAGGAAAATTAGCGCAAGAGAATTGTAAACCTAATAAAAGTTAATTTTTTGGGGGAAAAATTTGGATTCTACTTTAAGTCTTTATTTATGCAGCTTGCCGTGATGTTTTCCCGCATATTTTAGCTTTAGTCACAATAGTCACGCAAGCCGACTTCAACAGCTTTGCATGACGACCGTGACAATAGCTCTTTAAAAAGCGTTGAAACACCAAAGCTGCTGTATAAAATTAAATGGTCGTGACTGAAATGAACACTTCAAATCGGGTTTCCGATAAAGGACTGGGGATGAAACGAAAAGGATCTGAAACACTTGGGTTCATTCCTCCTCAGAAACCCAATTTTGAAATATCAATTGAAGTCACCACCAAGAAAAGTAACAGTTAAGACAATGTCTTTGATGCTGTGTTCAAAACACTATCTGAAATTCAAATATTTAGGTCAAATTACCTGATTTACCACACAATCCATAGAAGTCTATTCTATATCCCTCTTAACAACAAGGAAATAGAGTAGACTACCACAGTTGTCTGATTAATCAAGCTATTTGACCAGTCGTTATTGTTTTTGTGCTAATGGTTTAA